TCATCTATGAAAGGAGAAGTTGGATAAGACTGTCTAGGTTCTTTGCAGTTCTAAAACTCTGACAGCCTAAGGGAATTAAATTAACTAGATTCTTTGCTATGTCTTCTGTATTCCGTAATATATGATGGTAGTAACAGGATTTTAAATAATTCTGATATATAGCAAATTAAGGAACTAGATGCTCTTTACGTTCAAGTTGTATAATTAATTCACTATCTTGATAAAAATGGCAGCTGAAAAATATACCATTGGCTATGGCTTTTGTGGAATGTTCCAGAAATATGCTAGATGACGTCCAACTAGATTAGAGTCAGTGTGGTGAACTGGAATGAGGCATGGCATTTGAATCAGAAATCAATTCTATCACTATTTCCTTTATACCAAGATATGCAGGACACAAAGCTGAGTGCTAAAAAATGAGCAGGATCCAGTCCTAAGGCGTAGTAACTGACAAAACACACATGCATATAGATAAAATACGCAGTGCCGTGGGTACTCAAAAGGGAGGACATGTCCTATCTGAACCTGAAAATTGTTTCATGGGGAATGTAGAACAGATGCCAGGAATCCGAGGAGGGAATGAAAAGACAGAACAGTCATGATGCCACTCTAGCTGGCTTGGGAGCTTATAAGCTTTTTGACCTTGGGAAAGTCACATAAACTTAATCTCTCCCTACTGAAAAAACTGAGGAAAGATAACCTGCTCTGCCTACTTCATAGGGTTGTTGATTAATGTCAGAGTGCTTGGAAAACTATGAAGGAGTATGATCCTATTATTATAGTTTTTAGGCCTACTTTTTTCAGTCTATTCAAATAAGAAATCTTTCCACAGTAAAGGCTATCTCTAACATAAAACAATTAGAACTTTATGTCTCAAGCTATACTTGCAGAATGTATTCTCAACTAAGCAATTTAGGGATGACGGTAGGACAAAGTGCTTTTCTGAAGGTTGACAATGAACCTACTAAGGCTCAGAGTTCCTTGTTTATTTTTATTTTACTGAACTGTTAGCAGCATTCAACACTATAGTCATATGAAACTAGGAAATGGGAAAATATGCTTTCATGTCTCAAATCTCATCTTTCTACTAGTTAATTTCATTGAGAATTGTGTGTTTAAATACTTACTCTGATCTATGTGACTCAGGAATGATTACAGTATTGTGAGTGTTTCACTGTTGCTATTAATAGAAAACATTTAAAGCACTATGACGTGTGAATTTTCAGAGGCTATAGGCAGGGGTACTAGTACCATCTTTCCCTCTTTTTTCCTCCCTTAGCATAAATGGCCTCTTTTATGACTTTATAATTGACAATTAACAACACTGAAAACTCTGTCCACTTGTGGATTTCTATAATATAGATAAATTTACTGTTTTTCTCACTTTACTTTTGCAGCACTGGGTTGGACCTTGTTAGTTCATTGTAATGGCGGCAGGAAGCAGATGAATCCTAAGTAGACAGGGATGGGTTCCCGGTGAAACCTGACCTTCAAGTCAAAGACAGTTTAAAGCCTAGCTACAAGTCCCGGGGTAAATCCATGGACTGGTTTGAAAACCTGTCTTCCTGTTTTGCGTGCTTTTCTCTGATTGAACCCAACCCTTCACATATTTTACATACACCTACCCTTTCCTAATTGGTTTTTTACACTGTTGTGCCCACCTCTAAGTGGTGCCTTTGTTTGAGCCTTTTTTTGCATACTCACAAACCAATCAGCACACACTTCCTATTCTGAGCCCATAAAAGCCCTGGACCTAGCCACATGGAGAGAAACCACCCAGCGTTGGGTAGAGGACCACCCTTGCATCCCTTCTCCACTGAAAGCTGTTTCACCATCAATAAATATTTTCTCCACCCTCCTCACCCTTCAATTGTCAGCATGATCTTGCTCTTGGATGCAGGACCAGAACTCAGGATCCACTGAACATGGGTACACCGAAGGCTGTAACAACTGTGGTCCTCTGCCCTCTGCTGGCAGAGGGTAGTGACTCCATGTGATGGGAAGCAGCAGCAAGGCTGAACCAGCCCTGGAGCCATGAGCCAGAGTGAGGCAAGGGGCTGACAGAGCTGTTAACACGCTGCTGTCCACTGGGCTGCAGACAGTAGGACTAAAATAGCTAATCAGCATGCTGTAACATCCCCTCTGGGGCTTCAGGGTTGTGGGCACTGCTGCCTGGACACCACTGTGTTCATGATGCCAGTCTACCGCCGGAGTGGTTTGTAACACACCTGGTCCAGCTGCAAGCCCCGCATGGAGCCCAAGTCTGTGATGGCACTCAGAACAGCTAGCTGGACCCTGCACTCACTTGCTCACGTACCGCCTCCCATTGGCAGCTGAGCACACACTCACAGCAGCCACAGGATCTGGGCTGGTGTGCAAACCAGGCATGGTCCAGTGGGCCGAGTGGATGGGGTGCCTCCTACGGCAGGCCCAGGGCTGAATGAGGCTCTGGGTGGGAACGTCGCTGGCCGTGGAGGTCCCCAGCTGGCAGACTGACTGAGAGAGATCCTGCATCAATTCAAAGTCAGTTCTTGACCATCCTGGCCAACACAGTGAAACCCCATCTCTACTAAAAATACAAAAATTAGCTGAATGTGATGGTGGGCACCTATAGTCCCAGCTACTCAGAAAGTTGAGGAAGGAGAATCGCTTGAACCTGGGAGGCAGAGCTTGCAGTGAGCCAAGATCGTGCCACTGCACTCCAGCCTGGGCGACAGAGCGACACTCCGTCTCCAAAAAAAAAAAAAGAAAAAGTCAATTCTTCAAAGACAAAGGATGTTCTGCTTAAGCAGGTCATCAGAGACAATTTAATTCAACCTCCAAATATTACAAAAGAGAAGCCCAAGGCTCAGCAAGCATGATTTTTCCAAAATAATGAAGATGTTGGTAGCAGAGCCAAGGTTTGACCCAAGGTCCCAATTCCTAACTCAGGTTCCTTGCAGAACACTACACTGCCACAGACCCATATTAACATGTGTGTCAAGTGACTTTAGTTACTACTTAAAATCTGTAAAATGATGTTCATGGGTCAGCCATGTATACACTTAACTATATCTACCACTTTGCTGGGTTAGCCATCTGAAAGCCCCTTTTTAAAGGCTACACAGCTTTCTTTACTTTTCCCATAGATATCGTCATTCCGTGAACTTATTCTACTGAGCCTTTTAAACATGACTCCCTCATCATGCCCAATTTTTTATGTCTCAGGAATATCAGTTTAAGGTCATTGTACTGATCATGTTTTTACTTGATAAGACTCTGAATGTGAAGGTGGGGAATTCCCTTTTTTAGATACCCTATTATTTTTTTCTCTTAAACCTTAAAGAATCTATATTTTAATGCTTGTAGAATTTGCTTCATTATATGTACACAACTTTATTGAGATAGAAAGTACTCCATTAAAATCATACTAATATGAAAGGGCATTTAGGTTCCTCTAACAAACACTGATGAACTTAGAATAAACAATTCTGAAGCTGGATAAGTGAGTGATTCACAGAAATATCAACCACATTTAGCTAGGGAAAAATTACCAAGATCGATAGGTTTTGAAAACATATTCATTTCTTCCTTCAATTAAAACAAACAAATCATGCAAGTAGAAAATTCAAATTGCTATTTTAGCAATGTTTTCCACTCTGTATGATTCTAAAAATTCCTAACGCTAAGCTGATAGAATTTTCCATAAGTTTGTAGATCAAAACTCGTATCTCATTGACCAGTAACCTCATTCTTTAATCTTATTTTACAGATATTTTGTCATCTTGTGGGGTTTTTTTTGGGGGGTAGGGAGTATATAGTCACACAACTTACAAATACATATGTACATAAAATATAAATATGGAACTTTCAATTTTCATAGTCAGATTCGTAAGCCTTACCAGAAAAAAGTATGCTTCCTTATGCATCAGAGAAATAATGGATTATATTTCTGATGCTTAATGAAACTGCTTTGTGTAAGAAAAATGATATGAAAGTTCATAAATTTACAGAACAGATATAGGCATAAGGAAGTAAATTCTTTTAAATCAATCAAAGAATAAAGGATATACTAAAAGGTTGAAGTCAACAACCAAGGAAAGGACAGAAATCCTTTAGATTCTAAATTTACATTAAACTTGGAGGCCCCAGTTGATAAGACAGAGCTTTGGCAATGGAACCCACAGACAGACTGACTGACTCAGAGACAGTTAGACAACTGCCAACATGACTGTTGGGAGGGTTGCCAAAGAGCCAAAGGCTGGGATTACCATCCAATGCCTGGCATTCTGATATTCGTGTTTGAAGCTTTCTCTCTTATACTTCTTCCAATATTTTTGTTTGGCTCAAAAGTAGCAAGGATTCACAGATTTTTTTAGATCATTAAATGTTCTTATTTTCAAGAAATATAACATTAGTTGTAAAAGAGCACACTTTTTCTCCAAAGTGTAAAGAAAATTTTGGTGAATTGCTTTACGCTCAAATAGAGAATTCAGTGTTAAAAGTCTGTTTAAATCTTTATTTTATTACTCTTAACCCCTCAAATAAGAAATATTAATACATATCATAATATAAAATAATTTAGTGTTTCATTGTATCCACTCTTATGGAACTAGTCCTTTATATAAAGCTACTTTCTTGATCTTCATATGGCCCCCAAGGTTCTACTTGGATAAATAAACCCCTGTGTGGGGTACCAATGACAATATAGTTTGGCTATAAGGAGTGGTAGTTTCTCAACTATTTCCTTGACTTGTGAGGAAGGGAAAAGCATAGAACAGCCTTCTGTGGGAAAAGAGACATGTGTTCCAGTTTCTTATGGCAAGGTCCACTTAATTTGCCTGCTGAGTTGCTGGCCAATGAGGTATGTGAGTTTTGGCCTACAACTTTAGGCAAATGCTACCATTAGGCAATTCATCAACTATTAGGCAAACTCCACATTCGGAATTCTTAGACTCTACACAGAGAAGTCTATTTTTCACCCAACTTAAAATTATGTATATCCTACTGGGGAAGCTTACCTTTGGGTCTCTAAGGAACAGAGCCTTAAGAATCAGTGAGTGTACATCCCCGATGAATGGGTAATGCATCAGAAGGCCGAGACAGGTCTGGTAGTTACTAGAGATCACTAAATAAGAGGAAAAAATAATTCAGATGCAATACTATAAGATACTCTGCAGTGCTGAGAATATAAAAACTAACAACTCAGAGTCAATGAAAGCAAACCAATAACTCAACTGATTTGATAAAAGGAAGTAGAAAGAAGGGATCTTTACCAAATTGCCTTTGAAGGAACACATTGTATTGTTAACTGCAATCTAACGTATTAGCACTTATCCTCAGGGGGTGTTGGAAAGAAGAACTTCATATACAGGTATGTGTACATCTGCAACATAAATTCTCAGAACCATGTATATTTATTGCCATTTACATGGCTGTGTTTAAGTGTCTCCTGTTTTTCTACTTAGAAATTAGTAATAAAAGTCGTATGAATGAAAAAGAACCAGTTTGAGATTTCCATGAAACAATATTTACCTTGATTATTATATATTATAACTTGTTACATTTTTTTCTTTTGTATGGGTAAATATTATATAATTCAAAACTAAAGAAAGTAGAATTTCTACTAATTATTTGTTTTTCTAAAGGTAACGAGATTTAGGGAGAGAATATCTAAGCAGCATTTCTTGGAGGAAAAGTGTCAAAATTGTCATAGGTTAAGTCTAAATGTGTTCTGCAGCCTGTCATTTAATTTTTTTTCAAATCAACCTAATTATGGGTGTAACTATGAAACACATCTTTTCAGGCAGGTGTATGTAAACTACTTTACTTCTTGGCAATCTTATCTGCCACTGCTGTCACAGTCAGGCCCATTAACAATGCTTGCTTTGTGAACCACACTGACTGCCTCCACAGCACTGATTGTGAAGAAACTTTACAGTTTTAACTTCTGTGGTTGCAACTGAAGCCTTTTCATTAATCAGTTACTTGAAAAATGTTCCATAAGAAAACAACTGTGATTCAATAGAAACAACATCAACAACTAGAAGTTATAATTAGAAATATCTTTGATTTTTAGATTATTTTTTCTTCTGCTGTTGGAATACTATTTCTTGCTATAACTTTCTACTGTTCCCCCTCCTATGAGCACTATGGGGAAAGGAGACAGGACTGGGCAAAATGAATAATTATAATCTATGTAAGGAACCACTTTATCATCTTCATTTCCATTGCTGCTATGACAGCTTGTAATTTCATACATCTGCTTTCATTTGTAAAGCACTCACTTATCCTACCCTTTCTGTATCTGTTCAGACTCTTATTTGTTCATTTTTTCATATTTACCTTCAGTTACCTGCTGTCCTTTTTTTCTCTAGAAATTCAAAAAGCTAAGATACTGAGAATAGCATAATGGTTTTATGTACAGATTTCTTTGAGATCTAGCAAGTAATTAAGACTTAATCAATTCACCTTATAACTCAAAAAGTAATTATACATTAGTAATTGACCAAGAAAGAATTCTTACATATTTTGTAAAGAGGCAGGAAAGTTTTGTGGAAAAGTTTTTGATCTCATGACACAGAGATGTAGGTTTGAATCCGGGGCTTTATCTGAACCTTTCATCAAGTTGCCTTAAGATTAAATGATATAATCTATGAGACTGATTTATAGCAGCTGTTTAAAACCAGTTCAGGTAACCTCTGTGAGCTTAAGTTTAGTCACTTGGAAAACAACTTTTTGATTGAAAAAATTTATTTGACTGCTTCATTCAACCCAATAATTATTTGCTGAGTACCTCATTCACGACAGGCCCTATGCTAGGGGAGCACGTAGAGATAAACAAAACTGAGTCCTTACTCTGGAGAAAATTACAGCACAGAAGGGCAGATGTGTAATACTAAGCCGCTATTACTACTAACACGACTAAGCTAACAGTGAATTATTAAAGCTTTCTGTAGCCAGGCCACATGCTAAGAACTTTACCTACATTATCTCAATTAATTTTTATGACATTCTTATAGAGGGACAATTATTATCTTTGTTTTACAGATGCAAATATTGATACTTGGAGAAGTTAAGTCACTTGCACAAGTTACCAGTGATTCCCTAGGAGGGCAAGATTGGAAACCCAAAAGTCTAGCTGCAGAGTCTGTACTCTATTACAAGACATTTGTTTTGAAAGGCCATTGTTTCGAAAATCAAGAGACATCATGGATGCATACTATAAAGTATTACTACTATTCTAGTGAAGCAGTTTTAACTATACTAGAAGATCAGCATAACCCAGTCTCCAGAAAAGCTTGATTGATTGATTAATCATTTATTTATTTATTTACTGTTTTTTTAAGAGACAGGGTCTTGCTCTGTCACCCAGGCTACAGTGCAGTGGCATGATCACAGCTCACTGCAGTCTCAAACTCCTGGGCTCATGCAATCCTCCTGCCCCAAGCTAGGACGGACTACAGAAGCATACTGCCATGCCTGGCTAGTTTTTAAGTTTTTTGAAGAGACAAGCTCTTGCTATGTTGTCAGACTGGTCTTGAACTCCTATAGAACAGACTGATTTAGATATAAATATATAGATAGAGACTAGAGCAATAATCCTGTTATTTTATAAGTTGTTAAAACTTTTCAAGCTATCAGAAGCTATAAAATATATAAAGGAAGCCAAATAATGTATTAAAATTCTACTTGAGGAACAAATGAAGAAGCTAACATTCTTTTATCTTTCTATTCATCCATCCAATCACTGCATGCAATGAACATTTCCTGAGCATCTACTAAATGCCAGATATCCAGAGGCTATGCTAGGCACTGGCACTAGGAATATAACAGCTAATAAGTTAAGTTCACTGCTTTCAGATAACGGTATCTCTAATTTGCTAATGAAAATCCACACTTTTAGAAATACCCTTAATTTGCAAATAGATATGCTAAGTATTAAATCTCCTTTTGAATAACTACAGCAAGTTTAAAGTAGGTAGAAGAGAATTACGCAAGCTGGTTTAAAAACAAACTAGCAAGGATCTGACACAATAAGAATTTAGTTTTGAACTTCACAGTAAACTTTTATTGAAAATGAAAAACTAATCTGTAATACTGTTCTTTCCCCAATATTTATTCTATCAGAGCAGGGCAGAGACATGAGGTAACAAGTGAAAGATTAAGAAAAATTATTGAGTTTTGGCATCTACCTACATTTAAAATGAAGTATGTTTATGCTTTAAAAACAAAATAGTGAAGGCACATTCTAAAGAGTTGATTTAGGGAAGGTAAAAGCAAAGGTAAGTAGTACCTAAGAAAAGTTAATGGATTTGGAATGAGAACTAGATTAGACAGCCTAGTCACTTATAATATGGTGAATTTAGGCAAGCTGCCCAACTTCATTGAAACTTTATTTCTCTCATTTATAAAATGAGACAATACTGCTTACTCTATCTACAGGCTTTCTGTAAGAGTGGGCCAGCTGCTACGTGGTACGTTTCCCTATCTTGCTCAATTCATCCTTGATGAATAGTATTACCTCCACATGACGCAGAGCTGACTTCTCTGAATCTTTATGCACCCCACAACTATTCTGGAGTGGTCTGAAGAGATGATTTAGTTTCTCCAGCAGGTACAAATAAACCAAAAAGTGAAATCAGTAATGATATGCAGAAAAAGTAACTGTTTTGAGAAAGTTTAAAGCAATGTGGATCAATAACTTACACATAATTCAAAATTAACCACACTTACAACTGTAATGTTTGTAAATACATGCAATACTTTTTCAAATTATTCAAGTTCATATTGAGATACACTTTCTTTGTCAACATAATAAAACGGACTGAAAACTACCACAAAACACGAAACTCTATAGACTTCCTTTAATTTCTCGCCTGACCCCCCCCAAAATATCTATCACTTATCGAGTACCTATAATATGCCTGAAAACTAGTCATACATTTTATAAAGGTCTCATGAGTCCTCCTAATTCCCCCTAAGGAAAGCATTATCACTGACTGTTATAGATGAGGTAGTGCAGAGTAGGTAACAACACAGCCAACGCCACAGAGCTACTGAAAAGCAAAGACAGGGCTGAACCTGGGTCTGTGTAGACTGAAAGCCTCACCCCCTACTCTTCTACTTTCCTACATTCTTAGCAAGTGCATGACAGGGGTATCGGTATAAACTGAAAAAAGTCCTCGGTGTCAAAGGCCAAGAATAGCAAATATTTAGAAATAGGCATACATTCTTGTATTTACCTATAAAATGGCATATAAAAACAAATAATCATAGATTAATTATAAAATAAAATGAGCTAACAAAAAAGAAAACCTTTCTTTTAAAAAAGGAAAAAGTTTTTCTCATAGTTAATTGTACTTGACTGAAAACAAAGTCAATGTGTAATGAAAGTGCCTTGCCAGGCACCCGGCATAGAGAAAGCATTCAATAATGCAATGCTCTCTGAAAAAAAATATTTGTTGAGGGCCTACTACATGCAGGAAAGAACACATAATTACTGCCTGCATAATCTTCACCTATTTAAAGGCCCTTACTATTCTGACTTTCCTAAGTACAAATGGCAAGAAACAAAATGGGATTGCCAATGGACCAGAAAACAAGTGGTCAGAGGGAGGCTGGGGTATAAAACATAAATAGAAACAAAAAAAATTTTACTCTCTTCAGTTTTGGAGAAAGCCAAATATAAAACACAGTCATATCCTCCACAAAAAGTGGTTTTAGTCTAGTGTTTAAAACCCTTGTAAAATTTTGTCCTTCTGGGTTTTCTTCCTCAGTTGGCTTTGTGACAACTGCCTCTTTGAGCACCATCCAATCACTACAACAACCATCCTTGAAACCGAAGACCAACACATACTCTTATGTAAACACTTGGATACTCTTTGGTAAGTCTTTATTACTCTAGCAGATTTTGTGCGGAATAATATGAGAGTTTTAATTTCATTTTTAGGAAAGAGGACAATCTCAAATTCAGAGCAGCTCACTCTTTGGGCTTGGAAAAAAGACTTAAAAAATTGTTACTTTTCCCACTTAATACACTTTAAACAGAATCTCATTTAATAAGAGATCAAGCAATAACATAAGAGATCTTTACTCAATAATTTCTATGTTTAAATATATAGTGCT